AATTAGTAACTCGGTATATTAATCAAATAAAACAACAGACAAAATACTCATGAACTGCATGAACAATGTGCGTCACTACCACCCAAATTGCAACAACTAGCTCTGAAATGAGCCAAATGTTGTTGGGGATTTCCATTCCATTGAACAACTTACAAGATGGGGAACAAACTTTTCGAGTATTGAACTAAGTCAAACTCTTCCAAGTATGACCTATCCCTTTAAATAGAAGGATCTCATGGAGATTATCAGATTGGGTAATTGACTCTTTAATCTATTAAAATATAATCTTTGAAATCTTCCTTGGAGTCAGCAAATATACAGACTCGAGCTCTGTTTTCTCCTAACTCTCTATATCCCCATGAATATGAACAATATCCCCATGAATATGAACAATAATTTCTACTTTCTCATTACCAATATAAGGTTTGTCGGTTGCATTGGGGATCTTTTGGGACCATAGAAGCTAAGTAATAAGCTATCATGGCAGATGTCATCTCATCCAATCACTTCTCCATATTGCTAATATGTTCATCTTTTGCTTCAATTGCCCAAGTAAGAAAAGAACTTGAGAATTTTCACTCCTATGTTCCTCCTATACTTCAACAACTCCTCCATATGAGAGTCTCTAGATAGAGAAAAACCTCTCCTATCATATTAGAGAACTAATCCATGAGATTAACCTCGTTGGGATTGAAATTTTCTAGTAACATTCTTTGTTTTTCTTCCACTCTATTTTCCTCCTCATCTATATTTTTGAGACTATCCTTCAATTATTTCATCATTTCTTCCATAGTTTTACCTGTCATCAGATTGATCTGAGATGAGTCGTACTCTTGATGACTATCAATTTCCATTAGTTGTTTACTTTAATATTTAGAATTATATCTAACTACAAATCGAAGAATGTACCGTAGATAGAGTTTTCACGATAAGTCTCCATTCTTCCTTCACCCTGGATGGAGATGAATGTGATTTTTGACGTCCCAAAATCTTTTCATCTAAAGATAGAGTCTAAATGCAACCCCTAGAGTATAACTCATTGAGAGGAATTAATGGTTTGTCTTCTCCGAAAAACCTCATAAACTTAGAAGGTAAATCTGATTAACTAGAAGTTGAAAGGGAAAACAGGGGGCCACTCAGTGATCAGAATGATCAACTTTTGGTCTGCAATAGACCTCAAGTGGTGCAACTACGATATCTACAAAAATAATTTTCCTGTTAATTGCACTCCGAGAAAGAAATTTAGAATCATAACCATCCTCTAGAGCTGACACAGTTGACTGCTAGGCAAACCTTTGTTTATCCTTCCTTGATGCTTAAACAATCAATTTGTTATTCTTAGAATTTTTGTTCTCCATCAACTTTTCGCTGGATTTCTGAACCTTAGGGCATGTCAATCTATTGAAAACAGATGGATGAGAGGAGTGTAACTAAGTCTAGTTGACTCGCGAGCCTGCTTGGGCTTGACTCGTTAACAGGCTCAAAGAGTCAAGCTTATCGAGCTCGTGAGTCGAGCTCAAACAATATTTCAAGCTCGACGGCTTATCGAGCTCGAGTTCGAACAATAAACGCTCAACTCGCAAGCTCGTCAAACGGCTCATGAACAAAAATCCCGAGCAGAGTTTCGTTGGCGGAAGATCGTGCAACAGAGTTTCGCATGCAGGAAATTTCCAAGGGCGGGAAATTCCGCGTGCAGGAAATCGTGCGGGAAGTTTCAAGGGCGGGACGACACGAATGACCGCCAAGACTCACGAGCCGGCTCAAGCTCGTTTACAGTGGGATAAGCTCAAGCTCAAGCTCGGCATTGGAGCTCGACTCGAGCTCGAGCTCGAGCTCGTTTTCTGACTAACGAGCTGAGCTCGATAATGCCAAAACTCAACTCAACTCGACTAATTTACACCCCAAGATGAGAAGCCAAAGCCTTTGGTGAGACCTCAACAAACCTCTTCCTACTATTTTGGGCGGTCAACTTATCTCTAACAGGCAAGTTGATTTATAAAATCTTCTCAAATGAAGGTTGGTTTTCCAAAGCCTTCACTTTAGAGGGCTTGGGGCCTTGAAACATTACCTCTATATTCTTAAATCCAAGCCCAAATTTAATCATATTTTCAGAGGAAAAAGTACAACTGTAAGTGCACACTGAACTTGTAGATCAATTTACCCTCAATTCTGCTTTGTTGAATCTTTACTGAATTGACTTTAAATTTTTTCTGAAAATATTATATCAACTTTTTTGTTTTATTTCTTAAATCTAATTATTACTTCATCAACCAATCACTGCATTTTCCTTATGACTTTATGGCCACTAACAAGAATCATTGATCCCTATAGCTGTAACTCAGACTTGACAGGTGATGACATAAATTTAATAGATTTAAGAATTTCATAACACTTGACATAACTTGGTTGTAAATTTATACAACCAACACAACTATGGTATAAAAAAATTTAGAATTGGATTTATTTGAAAATGTGCATTTTAAAAAGCTTGATGTAGAAAAACTTGATTTCATTTTGAAAGTATTTTCTTTTGGAAAATTCATTTTTAAGACATTTTTTGCTTGTATTGTCATCACTTAACCCACGGTTGAAATGGGTGAGGCATCCAACACAGAATTTTTTTTTGTAAATGTGTTAGCCAATCAATAATTCAATATTAAACAAGATTTATAAAACCACTGTTTTAGATGAAAAGAAAAACAATTCCCAAGTAGAATCGCTAGAAAATCTATTTGTGGGATTTTAATATATATAACGGATTGAAATATTTAGTCATTGAGTACGGCATAAAAAATAATGTATTATCCCAGAGGATAAAAATATTATTTCGCTATGAATTTAATAACAAAACTCGTATTTTTATATTTTTAACATAGATTTTCCCTTAATATATTTGATCGAGCATGATTTGTTTTATTTTGGGGTGTAGATTCCCATAGAGCAAGACCCTAGGATTAATTACATCCCAAGCATTAGCCTCTTAAAAAATTTTTAATTAAAATAGTGGTTTGTATTATGTCAATTAAATATTTGCTAATATTTTACATGATTTGTCTTTTAGAAATTATTATCAAAGATTTGATCTTTGAGAATTTCAAAAGGATTAGATCAACTTGAAATCAATTTTTTAAATAGAAGCCAAAGAAACAAGTAGTAGGAATCATAGCTGTCAATGGTTACATGATTTGTCTTTTAGAAATTATTATCAAAGATTTGATCTTTGAGAATTTCAAAAGGATTAGATCAACTTGAAATCAATTTTTTAAATAGAAGCCAAAGAAACAAGTAGTAGGAATCATAGCTGTCAATGGCGCAAAATAGCGCGCGCCATGG